ATTACTTGACGGCGCCGCAAACTGGCAGATTGGTTGGAAAAGGGCTGGAGAATATCAAAGTTGTCGTAAAAAATATGCTCAACACTTGTTTATGTCATCATATTCGGGCACTCTACTTTTAAAAGGGTACTCTAGGGCTATCATGGCTTCAGAAGAAAAGAAAGAAGACTTACTAAATATAGTGATTGTTTATTTGTTTTAAATATAATATCTATTCTATATCTATTTTCTAAAAATCTTTGAAATCTTTTATAAGTATGCCTAAAAGTATGCAATCATATATTATCAATTATTTTTATTGCATACTTTTCGGAACCTTGAAAAGAGATTTCAGAACGTTGGATATTTCTTTATGATCTTAGTCAACATAAATTAAGACATTCTAAACAGAAATTTGTAAATGTTAGTGTCAATGTTTTCATACAAGAAACTATTCAAACTAAATTGTATAATGCTAGTAGTATAGTTAGCTCATCTCTTCTTCCAAACTTCTTTAGTAATTGTTATTTTTAAAGCTTCTCTTGTACTCCACAAAATTAAACTTTATATTTGCGCTATAGCTTTATAAACTATACAAGTGATAGTATTCTTTTCGTGGCTTTCGCATAATAACCATTTTCCCAACCTGCTTTTCCAAACTTTCTCATTCCCAACGAGAGCATAAAAGTTTCGCCTCATTTTGGAAATACTCCTGCCTTTTGTTGATGTTTTTGTTTTCGTATTTTTGCCAGTGTTAATTTTTCCGCATCCTCCATTTTTAATGGCGAACTGGTGCACTTTAAAGTTTTGATGGCCTCCGAGCGCCTTGGCAGCTGCTTCTGGCCACGTTTACTATGGCAATTCATTAGGCTCAATTGCCCCGCTCCGTGGTGTTGTTATTTTTATTGGCCTTGCCGCATGTTGTTGCACTTCTTGCTACCCGCTGTTCCATTGTTGTTGGCCCACTTTGGATAATAATGAAATGAATTATGTTTTCGCAGGGCAAACACTTGGCAGCTCAGCGGGGGAACAGGATTAGCATGGCTGCGACACAAAAACATCGACATCGAGAAATCGCTTAATTAACTTAATCAAAATATGGGGCGATTATGATTGGGGCTCGCTTTGAATGGCATGTCCTGCATGTCCTTTTGTGGCCATTGTTTGCTTAGTGCGTTTGGCCCAACAAACAAACAAACAAGTATCTCTGTGTGCTTTTGTGCGCATCTCTTTTATTTGTATTATGACAGCCGTTCAATTGATGCAGAAATTAATTAAAATTTTCCCTCGTGTGTACATGTGTGTGTTTGCAATAGGACTATCTGCCTGAATTGTCCTTTGGCCTAAGGCTAAGATAAATTACAATTTGCCAGGGCCAACGTTGTGAATACAACTGGAAACTGGTAATTGCTTTGCATGGAAATTGTGTGTGCAACAGCAGTAGGAATTGACTAAAATAAATATACGACTTGTTAATGGGCTTAAAACTAAGCCGAGGTATTGTGCTTTAATTTATGAAACTATTTTCTAATAACTCTATATTACATCCTGCAATCTTTTATATACATATATTAAATATTTCCTTATTTTCCCTAGTCAATTACCACTGTGTTTGAGATAAACTCCCAAGTAAATATTTTCTCTCTTCCAGCTGGCTGTCAATTTCTAAAATATTTCTATATTTAATAGACTCCAAATTAATTCCATATTACTTTATTACTTGCCGGCCGGGTCCTTTTCCCTTTAGGAATAAATACCTTCGCCCTTTCAATTAACTCGAGTCTGGTCAAATAATACCTATTCTCAGGGCACCGACAACGAAGTAGGAAAAGAGCAAAATTCGTGCAGGTCCTTTGAGTTATTTGGGAGAAAAGTCTTAAAGGCAAACGTTTGGGTTCGTTCTGGCATCTAAAATAATTTAACCCTTTTTCTCTCCCCTTTCTTTTAAAGTAATTTAATGCCTGAGCAATGGGGGAAAAAGGCCCACCACACATTCCGTAGAGATATGGCAAGTTTTCCTGTCTGCCATTGATGCCGCAGGGCAAAGGGCAAAAATAGATTCGGCTGCCATGGAGCTGGGGGAATACTCCATGGCACTTATCAAAGGCAGCAACAATTTAGGTTAAATACTCATTAATATTCCGGTCTGCAAAACTTTTTTCCAACTTCTTCGGCTGCTCCAGTGTTTTTGCCAAATGAATTTATGCCCTTTGCTTTTGGTGGCCGCCAGGCAGGAAGGCCAAAAATATAAGACAACCGAAAGTCCTGAGTCCTTTCTTGAATCCCAGCCAAATAAATAAGCACACGCACATGCCGAGGAGCACAGAGGCAAAAAAAACATGCAGAAGAAATTAATTTTGCGTAGCCTACTTTCTTTGGGGGGCCGTCCAAAAATGAGCGAAAAAACAAAACAAGCGCCCAAACAATTTTCCCAGGAAAATGATAATTGCCTGGTAACGTAGTCCACAAAATGAATAATTTATAAATTAAGCAAAGTTGTATAAAAGTTGAGAAACGAAAAGTATGGCAAACAACTGGGTGTCGTTATGCGAAAATGGCTAACAAATTGGGCTAAAGGAGGTCACAGATATGGCAAAATAGGCGTGAAAATAATATTAAATGCAATTTACTGATTAAAAGTTGAGACCATAGGAATAATAGAAATTGTTAAAGAAATAATATATCACAAAAAAATATTTAAATGTTGATCATATGCATTTTAAGTATATATTTAAGGTATCAGCATTATTATAATCCCCTTGAAAGCATTGCAAATAATATGTGTTAAATTTTTGTGTTCAAAAATGGCTCGCAAACAAATCGAATACCATTATTTTATTCTTTGCAATCTGGAAAGCGTGAGGATAACAGAGGTAGGATATAATTTACCCAAAGAAAAATCTTTTGCCAAAAGTATTTAATTTTCTTTTATTGGATACACCGCGCACACACGCCGAAAGGCAGCCAACCCACTAAAATGCCAATATATTTTTTGCTTCAAATTTATTGCATACTTTTCGGCGAAGAAAAGCGAGAGAGCGGGAAAGAGGATCCGCAGGAGCAGGACGGAGATACGCGCGTGTTGTCGGGATTTATTTATTCACTCCGCCATATCCTTCATCCTGCATTGGCGGATTTTGTGCGCTGATAAAAATTTTGACATGCCAAACGAGGGGAGTACGAATTCCCGGGAAAGGATTTTCGCGGTGGTGAGTGTGTGGGGGGGGGGGGGGATAATGGGTAGCCCGGAGAGGATGTAAAAACAAAATGACAGGATATTATTCAATTGAATTCGTTTACATGCATGAACTACATAATAAAAATGCCCTTAACCAAAAAAGGAGAGCCGAGCGTAAAGAACGCAAATTGAACAGCAGCAAAATGGAAATGTACACACATATTCGTACACATTCGTGTATGCCAACCCACCTACGGAAAATATGAAATATCTTTTGTATCATTTGTGGCCAGGTCCAAAATGTTTTCTGTGGGCCAACATTTACATATTCATTTGGTACTTTTTCGGGGGCGGGGCAGTGTGGGAAGACCCCTTATTAAATGCGCATATTTTATGCAACAAAAGCAGGCCGCTTGAGTCATGGGCCCTGAGTACTCACTTGTATTCAGACCCACGACTCGAATTCATACTCATTTCGCTTAGTTAGCCACCCTGAGGGGATTCCCCGACTTTCCCGGCTTGTTTCTCGTTTCTTGCCAAAACATTTTCCACTAATTTGTTTGGCTGAAAGCAGCGGAAATTGTTTTGCGTCTGGCATAAAAGTTTTCCACATACGAATTCCCATTTTGATGGCTACAACTTAATGGTGAGATAAGCAAGAGTTATGAATTATAGTTGGCAAAAGTTTTTGGGGGAGGAAGTAATCAATGCATTACGGTATAAGTATGTTTTGGGGGCGGATGAAATGATTCGGGAAATTCCTCAAAGTTATCAGGGAGTTTGGGCCAATAAATGCAAATCAGAAAATATGCTAATCTGGCAAGTAAAGTTTAGCTACGATTAGGTGGGATGAGCAGGGAAATTAATTCGGAATATTCAATGAAGACGTTTCTTGGTATAGCTTAATTATTTTACACTGTTAGTACCTCTACTATAAATGTTATATTCTTTAGTAAAATATTTGTATCAATTTTATGAATAATTCTTCCTTAGCCAAGAACATATATTCAGAATATTCAATGTTCAAAGTTAAGCTGCACTTATTCTTAGTAACTCAGATATTAGTATTCCTTTCTTTAAACCATAGATTTGTTTAATTAATATCAATATTAAATCGTTTACCTAATAAGAAAGTACCTTTAACATTATGTTCAAATTAAAAAATATTTGTACTTTACTAGTTTAATTCCTGGCTATTTATTGTGCTGGTTCAGCCATAAACCACCCATAAATATTTGTATTTAATGGGGAATAATTCTCAACACGTATATCTTCACTCACAAGATTTAAGGCACAGCCATAAATCTACAAATCCCAAGTATTTATCTATCTAGGACAGGACTGGCTCTAGAATGCAGATTCCCAGACAGCCGTGCGTATCAATAAACCGGCATTCATATGCATTCAGGCCTGACATCCCAGGGATGCCTTCGCATTGAGCCTTATACCCATTCAACACCTGTCGGCAATCATCATAAATATGCCGGGCTCCCAAAACATCTCGGCCAAGTGAGTTGGATGAGTTAAATGCAACTCATTACGGGATCGCACATCCATACAAATGTCATACATTCACGAGCTTTGCACTTGCTCTCTGTTGAGCAATTTTCTATGGAATATTTGCAATTGCAGGCCGTCTGAATTGCACTTGAATTGCACCCCGTCTCCAGCCCTTTTTCGTACACCCACTCAGAATCAGAGGTTGTGGCAGCTGCACAAACAGAGAATGCCAGGGCAAACACCCAGAAAAGCAGGAAATCCATGACCAGGATGTGTTTTTTTTTTCCTTACTCAGTTTGAGTTGTATTTTTTATTTTTGCATTTCTCTTTTTGTCGAGCTTACCTTGTGCATGGGTCCACTTGAGCAGGAAAACGATGAATACGAAACGTAAATCCATTTTACAATTTTTTACAGTATTTCGCCTTAAGATAAACTGGCTAAAAAAGCGTAGCAAGAGCATTTATTTGCCCAGCCCCAGAGACACACACACAAACACACCGGCACACACACGGGGGATACGACTCCCACAAGGATATATAGATATATATATATATTCGTGTTGCTTGATTTTTTACTCGACTTCTATTCGCACACAATTCGTTACATTTTTCCCCTTGGAGTTTACAATGTATTTTGCGGCCTGAATGCTTCCGCTTCCTTTTGGCCAGGCCAAATTTGGCCAAAGTCTGGCCGTCGCATATCGTTCCTGATATCAATTAGCTGATTTCCGAGGAATATCGCACTTCGTTTGTTTATGTTTGCTGCCAATCGCCAGTTGCCCACGAAGTTGGCCCAACCAACAACGCCACAAAAAGCTCGACACGCGCTCACTTTCAGTTCGATAACCGTTGGCGGCAGTAACCAAAACTCAACTGAACTGCGTTCAGTGTTAAGCGTGATATGGGGGTCCTTAAAACCAGCCACCGAGAACAGTCCACAGCAATGTTCGCTGGGGTGGTGAATTCCGCACTTCGGTGCGGTTCGGGCTTTTCGTAGTTCGCCTGGGGAAATCCAAGGCAGATTTTCGGAGTAAATTCCTGCAGGAAAATCAGCTGTTTCAGCGGGGGAAAAATCGAGGAAAAGAGAGGCATTTGAATAATGCAAGGGAAATTGGCCGGGTCTACTGATAAGAAATAGTTATTATGTGGTCTTAAAAACAGTCTTATGCCACTATAAACAATATAGTAAATTTAAGTAATGACTTTAAAATTACAAGCTTGTTAGTTAAATATTTATTTTAATATTATGTATTGTATGGGATATATATTAAATGTAAAATATCTTAAAAAATTGTATACTTAATTTTTAAACAATCCCATCTCTTTATAAATATTTTTTAAAATTATAAGCATATTTTTTCTGCTCCCAGCCAAGTTTGTTTATTATCGCAGCAACGAGCATAAACATTTGTTGCTAAATCCTGCCGGCAAAAGTGTTGAGTCTGCGCATTAGCCAAATAAACAACATTTTCGGAGTTACATCCAGAATTCCTTTGCTCTCTATCTGCTTACAAAAATGCTGGGAGAATGTGAGATATATTTACAGGGAGAAATTGAGAAGCCGGAAAAGTAGCGAGTAAAATGGTAATTTTAAAAATGACCGTTAAATGCCGATGCACTTTTGTAAGATAGTGAAATGATATTGGTTTTGAACCAATTTTTGTAAGGATTGAAACATCCAAAAATTTTATTTCTTTATCTTTGGTTTAATATAATTTAATCGTTTAAAAAAAATTATACATTACATTGGTTTCTTGTGTCATGTATTTGTAAGCATCACATGCCGATACATTTGTTAAGATTTTAACGTACATTCCGAGATGCGTACAGTTCAATAAATTAAATTAATTAATGTTTTATTATACTACCTTTTAATTAGTAAGCTTTTAAAGAAACTTAAGGAGCTCTTTACATATTTATTACCCCCATGACTTCATTTGCATGACTTGTGCCCCGGGCTTTGTATTCCCCGAAGGCATTAGGCATTTAAACTTCCTGCTAACCCGCATTTGGGGCCAATCTGCTGAATCGAACCAAACATCAGTGGCATAGTTAATTAGGAACTTAGGAGCCGACCTCACATCGTCGTTCACCTGCTGATTCCTGCCGTTCGCATGCACCGCAATCAAAATTAGCTCAGTGGCTTGCGGTGGTGCACTTTGGTCCCCGGGAAAGCCCCCATCCATCCCTACATTCTAGATCGCATAAACAACAATTAAAACACTACAAATTGCACATACAAACATCCATCAAAGGGATGTGACCCTTATTCCGGTTTCTATCTTTTCAGACCCGATAAGTATCCTCTTTTTGCCGTACCCTGCTGTTTTCTTCCCTTCTTCAATTATTTCCGATTATTACCAGAAGAGACGCAGGAGGATGAGTGACTGAGGTTGAGGTGGATGCTTCAAAATCCATGTTAATTGCTATTTTGCTCCCATTGGCTTTAAAAATCCTTGCAAGAAAACTAACAACCTGGGGGTCAGATTGTCCTGATTTGCCATTCATTCTACAGCCAGGACAATAACAACTCTGAGGGAATATCCCTGTTGTTCCCCTAATATACTTTCCTTTTGCTTTTACTCGTGGGAAAAGGGAAACTGGGGGGGGCGAAAGGAAAACTGAAAGAGAGATTGGGGGGCAAAGATATGGGTGGAAAGAGAAATTACAGTGACGACCCAGTAAAGTAAGTTCCGAAGATAAACTGCAATCGAAGGACGTTGACTGAATGATAAATTACACTTGACAATGGGCACCCCCACTGAAGTGACGTGTGTGTGTGCGAGTGTTTGTCCAAGTCCTGTCCAGGATTCCATTTTTTTTTCCTTTCTCCACAGCTGCCCTTCTTTTGCTCGTTTGTCATAAGTTTACTTTTAATATAAAAGTTTCCTCGCTTTGGTAATGTTGAAAAGTGATCATCATGATAATTACACGGCCATAACGATGGGGCTGATGCACAGTGGGGCAAAAAAAAGTGGATAGAACCCAAATTATAACTCAATTAAAATGATATAGATTAGATTGTTAATTCTGTTAAAATAGTTTTGTTAAAAAAATTTAAATTCTTTTTTTTAGTATTTAAATCAGAAATAAATATATACAACTATCCCTGAGATCTTAAAAAAATTCATTTTAAATTCTTTGTTGATTATGTGATTAGCTAAATTTACTATTACTACTATAAATTCACCTGTTATTAAAAGTAGAAGGTCAATCATCATTGTTAAACCATCATTAAATATTCATTAGAAAAACTTTCATTATATGTGATTTATTACAGCACTTAAGCTCGCATTTCTTGACTTTAAAATGCATTTATAAATAGGTTTACAGGTTGTCAACCCATATTTCAAAAAAAGTTTAGTTCCTTAGCCACTGTGGTTTTCGGCGTCAAGCTGGGTCCGTCCGTCAGGGGGCGCCACCGCCGCCGTCCCCGAAGATTTATGTGCTCATGTGGTCAGAGATACGAAGAAACCCCCGCCAGGATTTCTGCCAGCTCCCCGTTTTCTGTTTCTTGAGTGCCAAGGACCTCGAGTGTGTTTGTCAGCCGGGGTGGATGGGGTATTGGTCCAGTGGGTGGGTGGGTGATGCCAAGTGGGCGGGGTAATTATGATGGTTGTGGGTGGCAGCTGCTGTTGCTCGACAGCAGAAGAAGAAGCAGCAGCAGGACCGGTAGCCCAGTTTCACTCATTAAGGATATCCGTGCAGGAAAACAATGCCAAAGCCAGCAGACCTCCACCACCCGCACACAAAAGCCGTTACAGTGTAGCCACAAAAGGGAGAATTCACCCAGCGTTTTCCCGGCATTTCCCCGCGTTTTCCCCCGATTTTCCCCCCCACCATCCACTTCACGTAATGCATTTAGTGGCTGCGGTTTTTGAGCTCTCACAGCTCGCATTGTTTGCTCTTTGGCCTCGCCTCTCGCCCCCAGACAAAACAATACAAATTTATTTTGCCGCCACGCCCACAACACCGAGAAAAAGGGGCGGGAGAATGGGGGGGGGGGGGGGGAAGCGGAAGAGATTCTTTTCAACCAAGGCAAAGCGACGGCCCAGAACTTGAGCACTGCACGGAAGTTCCGGTTGAGCCGGGGGTACTTCCCCTTTTTTACCCACTCTCTCAGAAAACTTTTCAGCCAGGAATTATATCAGAAAGTTGAGCCCGTTGACAGGGGCGGCGTAGGCAAACGGATGCTGCAAAGGGGGGCATTCGGGAGTTTGGGGGGCGTGGCAATGCCCAAAGAATGCATAGTACACCCAAAAGTGTTAATTCATTTGCCTTGGCATAATTTTATTCATTCGGGTTTTGTTGTTGAATTAAAAGTTTGGCCAGCAACTGGCATAACAAATTATAAGAAAATTGCATGAGGTAAGTGCTGGATTCCAGGGGGAATTATTTATGTTAGCCCAGAAAACAGATGGGTAAATATATTATGGAACTATGGTTTGTTTATTATTAGTTACAAATTTCTTTCATTAAGTTTTGATTTCAAATCTTCAACCATAATGCGATTAAAAACTACCAAAATATTAACTGCACCAAAGAGAATATGAGAATTATGAGAAGCTATAATATTGTAGAATAATAAAATCATTGCATAAATATATTTTTCAGTCTATTTATAAGTATAATATATAAGCAAAAAATTAACATTACATAAAAGTACCCTGAAACATGCTGTTTAGATCAAAGCAATCAGTACCCTGATATTAAAAAAATATAAGGTGTTACTTGAAGATTCAAAGAAGATATTAGAAAGCATTACAGTATTTCGATATGTCAAAAAAAAATCGATATACATATTTTTTTAATATCGAAATACTGTTTTGATTTTCCTGACACCATTTAACAGCGCTGTAATCAAATCAAAAGTAAATCCGAATGTCCAATACCTCAGACAAATGATCAATGGGCAAATCACTTAGCATAACTCAGAGAGGGAAATGCAAAATGTTTTTCCACTCTCTGGCTGCCAGGATGTGGAAGTGGAGCTTTTCCAACTTTGAGTGTGATTGATTGCGAGGGAAACGTAATTGAAATGCCGCCGAGTTCAACGGAAGTCGACGAGGGGAAACTGAATAGACAGTGACAAAAAGAGAAAGTTTTCACTTTACTTTTCCCCAGAGCCAAAACGCAAGTTCTGCCATCCGACTAGATGGCTAGCAGACAGTGCCTGTCATTCTGGATCCACAAGATACATATCTTTGGCGTAAAATCATAAATAAAAGGTGGAGAATCCGAGCGAATGCAAATGCGAAATCAATCCTAGACATGGCATTAAAAATGCAACAATGAAAGCGAAATCCACACTGAGACAAAACCTATAAAAAAAGAAAAGAAAAGGAAGATAGAAAAATTGCCAGACATAAAATATATCAAGATGGGAACATCTGGGGGTTGATGATGCTGCTGCTGCCACTTAGCTGCAACAAATCGCCAAATAAGTGGAAAATATTGCAGGCCACAAAATTGCTACGTCTTATCTCAAATTCCGCACACTTTACCGGGCAATAAGTGGCTCAAAGACAGAGAAACCAATTCCGATGACCTCTTTAAATATTAATACGCGTGCCGTGATTGCACTGGGAATTGTGATTGACTTTTTAGACCCGGCCAACCCCCGTGCAAGACGCATCCTTGACATTTGAGCTACCCCCCTTTGGTACTTGAGCAACTAAATGCACAACCCCCTAATCCAAAGGAGTTTCCCGGAAAACAGAAAGGAAGACTCACCTCGAGTGATACCAAAACTCCCCGGAGACCCAGCCTAAGAAATAAACTTTGCACTTGACAATGTCTGGAGAACGGAGGGCAAACACAGTTTGCCAAAAAGGTGGCAAAGTTTTTTCTCTTATTTTCCATTTGAGGGGATTTTAAA